CTGCCCACAGCGTGGAAATACTTCCTTTCAGCTTGGGCAAAAATGATAGTATACTAGTATTCTCAGCAGGATGGTGCTCAAAGTGGAGTTTCAACCCAGAAGTAGTGACTTGGTTGAAGAAGAGGCCTCTGGAATAACATTGGCCAGGAATTTAACCTTAGCAGCAAGTGAATAGCTGGGAGCAGGATGAGGAACACAGACCTCCTACCCCTCCCAGGAAGGTAACTATCCAACTGGGAGTTGGTAGTGAGGGATCCTGTGCTCTCATCTGCACCAGTGTATAGTGGATTTTCTATCTTGAATTGGGAAGGTTGAAGGAGAATGAATGTCTCAGTTCAAATACCACAGACTCTCATTGTTTTTACAGAATTATAGATCATCTTGAATAAATGTTCATTTGTTGCATATCCTTAGGAACATTTCCAGAGATGTTAAATCTTTTTTTTTATTTTACGATAGAAATTTTTTTTATTTTTTTTTTATTTTACGATAGCAGAGATGTTAAATCTTGTCATTTGTTTTTGCTTGTTTTAAAATTTTCTTCACCAGTTTCACTAGGGAATGAGTCCACATAACTACTCATGTTGTCAAGCTAGAAGTCCCTCCATGCTCTTTAGTTTAAATTTTTTATTTTTACACAGTTTTAGATTTAGTATAAAGTGGCAAATACAGAGTTCCCATGTAACTTCTACCTAGCTTCACCTCATATTAATATTTTACAGATATATGGTACATTTGTCAAAGCTAAGAAATTAACATTGATATAATACTGTTTACCCTAGAAATGATTTGAATTTTATTAAGTTTTTTCCACACTAACATCCTTGTATTGCAGGATCCCATTCCAGGACATTAAGTTGCATTTAAACATCTTTTCTCTTTAGTTTAATTCTCTCATTTCTGACAACTGCTCCATCATTTCTTGTCTTTCATGATCCAGACACTTTTGATGAGTATTCATCAAGTATCTTATATAATGTTTCTCAATTTATATTTATATTTATATTTTTCTTTTTCTTTTTCTTTTTTTTTTAATGAGTGAAGTGAGTTTTGGGGAAGGACATCATAGTGGTAAACAGTTTTGTTCATCATACTGGTGAACAGCATCATACTATGTGGTACATGGTATCACCATGACATTATTAATGATGTACTTGGTAAGGGTGGTGTCTGCTAGTTTCCTCTCCTTTCAAGTTAATCTTTTTCTCTTTCCATACTTAGTCACTAGATCTGGCCAATTCAAGGGAATCAAATTCCACCACCTGAAATAAGAGTATCTATGTATTACTTGGAATTCTTTAGGAAGAGTTCTCTTACCTCCCTCTGTTCATTTACATGAGAGCACTGTTCTTTTTTTTAATTGAATAAATATAAGTTCTTATAAGAAATATGCATGTTGTGATTCCCATTTTATACACATGGGGAGAGGGGCACCTGGGTGGTTGAGCATCTGCCTTTGGCTCAGGTCGTGATCGCAGGGTCCCAGGATGGAGTCCTATATTAGGCTCCCTGCAGGGAGTCTGCTCCTCTATGTCTCTGCCTCTCTCTGTATGTCTCTCATGAATAAATAAACACACAAACACATGGGGGGGGGGAAGCGGAGGTGTACTCTTTTGTGATGTGTTTAACAATTGTGACAGGAGAGCTGGGTTAAATGCACACCCTGTTTCCACTTTTTACAACTGTATGTATCTCAAGTCATTGGAAGCTGTACTTTATTTTCTCACCTTGGCCTGCAAAGGGGGGGGGGGCAGCAAAGAAGTAACTGATGATGACTTCTAAGAAATTTTGTAATACATTCTTGAAGGATTGTTGGGGTTCCTAACATGACTTTGTTGGTTTCTTGACAACTACTTAATGCCAGGTTGGTTCAGGGTTCACCCTGCCCATTCCTTCCTCCATCTAATCTCTGGTGGAGACCTGAACTTGCAATGCACGGCAACAGCTCCCCAGTCTCCATATCCACGCACGACCCCTCTGCCAACGCTTACAGGTCCAAGTGCCTACGTCAGACACATCTACCCTGATGCACAAGGGAGTCCTGACTTCCCTAGCCTCGCTCGTGCGTGGCCTCCCCATCTCTGGGCTCGCACATGGATCCTCCAGCCCCAGGGTGCTCACTCCTCGCGTTGAGGCCCCATAGCACGTGGCGCTGGTGCTAAGTTTAAGAAGGCCCCAGAGGGGTTGGGCGATGTGCATGCACCGCGGTGCAGGGCTTCCGGCGTCCCCGTCCTGGCAGGCACTTTGCAGCTCGAGCATCCGTCCTCGCTCCAGGAGGATCGCTAGGAGGTGAGGTGCACGGGGAAGTTATGAGTCGAGCCAGGGCCTGGTTATGGGACCTGGCACGTGCCCTGACCCGCCTCCTGAGCCTCGACTTTTCCGAGCATATTAGGGACGGTCTCGCCCCTGCCCCTTGATCCCACTGTGAAGACGGTCTGAGGCAGCTCCGAGGCGTTTCCCTGGGTCTCGCGCACTCTTCTGGAATGTTCCCCACCGTCGGTTGTTCAAAGGGAGAAAATTACCTTAACCAGAAGGCTGTGCTCCACGTGTCTGGGCCAATTACGGCCCAGGATAGCGGCATTTCTGGCGGCCTGCGCCGGCGGTGAGGGACTTCCGGTCCCTGTGAGGCGTCTGTCTTTTACCAGTGTTGGGCGGGTCCTCCCCGGTTTCGGGGTCTTTGGGCGGTGGCGGGTGTTCTGTCCGAGGCCGGAGCAGAGAAGGTACCTAGGTGAGGACTGTAGGTCCCACCTCTGTGTTTTTGCGAGCCTGAGACCCATCCCTCAACTTCCGTAACGGATGTCCCGTGAGCGCCCGCGAGAGCGCAGGTCGCTGTCTCCTCAGCTCTGACGCGACGCCGTGGTCTGCGGGTGCATTTGCACGGGGAAACTGAGGCTCGGAGTGTGACAGTCCGCCGGGGTCACCCTGCTATGGGTAGAAAGGGTGGCGGTCGGCCGCGTCCGGCAGGCCCCTCGGCCGCCGCCCCTGCGGTTCCTGCCCCGGGCACGGGGTCCCGTGACCGCGGCAGTGTGGATGGAGCCGGCACCGTTGAGTGGACTTTGCTCTGGGCGCTGCTGCCTCTGCTGTGGGTGCCTGTGCTGCCGGGGTGTGCCTCCTGGTCAGGCTGGAGGCCAGAACTGCCGTCCGATTTCTTCTTCTCCCTATCGTTTGTTTCCAGCAAGTGGCACAGGCTTGTCACTTCATCCCAGTCCTACAGCTGTGGCGGGTCTCTGGCAGGTGTCCAATCACTGCATGAAGGATGGAAGGTGCCTCCTGCCAAGGGCTCCCACATCTACTGATCCAGCCCCTGCCCTGACCTGCAGGTATCAGCCCGGTTCTCCTGCCGACCTCCTCTGGCCTTGTCTTCTTCCCAGATGCACCAGCCTGACCACAGCCTTGGTCCTTGCACTGGCCTTTGCCTGGGCTACTGCCCTTGTGACTTTGCAGGGCCTCTGATCCTTCTGCCCTGTGCTCTGATATCACTCATTCGGAGAGAACTTTCCTAGCAGTTCAGTCCAAAATGGCCCCTTTCCTACTTGCCCATCATCTGGTATTTTTGTGCACTGAACCTGGTAGAATTAAGCATGGTGATTGAACTTGTCTAGGACATTGTCGGAATAAAGAGAAAACAGTAACAAAAAGGAATGTGATAGCTGGTGTTAACTAGTTTTTGTGGTGGACTGACAGGCAAGCATAACATCTCACCTCATTTAATCCTCAACTCCTCTGAGTTGTGTTATTATCACTGTTTTGCACAAGAACAACTTGAGGCTTGGAGAGCTTTCGTTACCTGCCCAAAATTACTGCAGCTCTGAAGTAGTGAAAACAACCAGTGTGTCGACCATCATAGCCTGTATTTTTACTCCTTTCTCTACAAAAAGCAGATAGGGAAGCCTGGAGGCACACCTGAAGTAATCTTAGTAAGCCAAGCAGGCTTCCTTATGGTAAGTGCCCTTAGACATGAGTTGGGGATGTGGCATTTTAGCAAGTGGAAGTATATGGACAATAAAAGGTACATTGGTTGTTGAAGGAGTCTCCAGAGGACCTGTGTGGTTTCCGTGGCCCCTGTATCCCCATCTGCTGGGATGTACCCTGGGAGGGCCACACTCTGTGGTCATTTGCTGAATATTCCATCATATTCTCAGCAAGGACAGATACTGTGACAAATCAAAGGCTGTTATGGCCACAGCCTGCGTTGTCCTCAGCAGCTTCTATCCTCTGGGCCTGAAGTATTCTTTCCTCAAGGATACCTGCTGTTGAGACTCAGGTGGGCCAGTTTGAGTTGCCTCAGTGTTACTAAAGGGAGTGAGGGGAAGAGGTAGGAAAAAACGATGGCTCATTGTGGATTCTCCCACACAGTCTCTGAGGAGCAGAAGGCTTTGGGACCCCATCCAGGCCCTGCCACTTCCCAAGCAGGTACCACCACTTCATCATCACCCAGGATAATCAGTGAGTCTCAGCTGCTGTTGCTGTAATTATTATTGTTGCTGTTTTCATTATCTTTGTTACTTTTTCCCATTCCTGTGGCATCTTAAAGCCCTTACTGTTCTATGCCTCACAGTCCACATAGGAAGGTCCTGACCTCATGGCATTCTCCATTGGCTCCCACATAGGAGGCTCTGTCTCTCTTTTTAAGATTTTATTTATTTATGAGAGACAGATTGAGGCAGAGACACAGGCAGAGGGAGAAGCAGACTCCATGCAGGGAGCCTGACGTGGGACTTGATCCCAGGTCTCCAGAATCAGGCCCTGGGCTGAAGGCAGCACTAAACCGCTGAGCCACCCGGGCTGCCCAGGAGGCTCTGTTTCTTATGCTGCTATATTCCAGGCAAAACAGTATCTCTGCCTCTTTGAGTCCAGCGCAGAGCTCAGCCCTCACAGGGTATTTGGTTACTCTGCTCCCTTGCCATCAAGAGAGATGGACTCTGATTCCTATCAGTAGCCCCAACACCAACACACTGCCTCTGACTTTTCAGATGCCTGTGACCTTTGATTATGTGGCCATGACTTTTACCCAGGAGGAGTGGGGGCAGCTGGATCTGGCCCAGAGGACCCTGTATGAGGAGGTGATGCTGGAGACCTCCAGGCTCCTGGTGTCTCTGGTTAAGGCTTCCCTAACTCTGCCATATGGGAAATCTGTAACCTCCTCCACTCCACTCTCTGGCTTCAGGCCTGGCTACTTATGAAGGCTGCTGTAGCCATCCTGTCCTCCTCCCCACTTCAGTCATTTTCTAGACTCCTCTTTTCCTGCCTACTCTCCTTGTCTTAAGGAGGGTTAGGGAAGAAACATAGTTTGCTTTTGGTCACAACCAAAGGAGAAGGATGTGCTGGGAGAAGATGGAGGTATCTCACAGAACCTAAAGGCAGGAATTCCAGTTGGCTCCCTAGGGGACTGATACAGGAACTTATAAAAGCACAGTTATGCCCTGGCTACTGGGGCTTTCATCCTGGCTTCTCTCTGTGGGTTTGCTTGTGTCTGTCTTTTCACAGTGAGTTTTTCTACCACTGCTATTTTGCAGCAGGAAGTGGTTGCCCAGTCCTTGCTGGGTAAAGGCCCCATGTTCCTTGTCTTTACTTCTTTCTGTATGCTGATACTGTTCCTCTTCACTCTTTCAATACTCCCAACATGCCATCCTTGGCAAATGAGGAAAATGGGGCCACTATGTGAGTCCCTCATAAAGCGTAATCTGTTCAATTTAAAAGACACATCTTCATTGTGAAAAGCTCTCCTCTGCAGTTTTTGGTGGTACAAGTCCTTTCTTTTGTGAAATGTTGGCCAGAATAGATGGTGTTTTCTGTTTGTGCACATGTCTCTATTTGACCAAATTGCTAAGTGCGATTCCCAGTTTTTTTTTCTTAGTGGTTCATAAAATGGTGTCACCAAGTCTGCTTCTCCCCCTGACCCCCGTTTCCTGAGGATTGAATCCTCCTGCTCACATCCCCCTCTCACTGTTTCAGCCTCCTTGGACTCAGGTTGCTGGCCCCACACAGGAGTGTTTGCTGTTTTCTTCTTGCTGTAGTGTTTAAGAGATCAGGGTCTTTTGTTTCTCCATATAAACTTGAGAAACAGTTTGTTGATATCTACAAAATGACTTGCTGGGATTTTGACTGGGATTGCATTGAATCTACAGATCAAATTGGGAAGAACTGACATCTCTATAATATTGAGCCTTTCTATCCATCTACATGAAATATCGCTCCATTTATTTTGTTCTTTGATTTTATCAGAGTTTTGTAGCTTTCCTCATGTAGATCTTGTATATATTTTTTAGATTTATACCTAAGTATTTCATTTGGGGAGTAATGTAAATGGTAATGTGTTTTTAATTTTAACTTCTTTTTTTTAAAGATTTTATTTATTTATTCATGAGAGACACAGATAGAGAGAGAGGCAGAGACACAGGCAGAGGGAGAAGCAGGCTCCCTGTGGGGAGCCTGATGTGGGATTTGATCCTGGGTCTCCAGGATCACGCCCTGGGCGGAAGGCAGGCACTAAACCACTGAGCCAACCAGGGATCCCCAATTTTAACTTCTATTTGTTAATTGCTGGTATATATGAAGGCATTTTGTACATTAACCTTGTATCCTACAATCTTGCTATAATTGCTTATTAGTTCTAGAGGTCTTTTTTCTTTTTATTCTGTTGGATTTTCCATGTAGGTGATCATGTCATCTACAAATGAAGAATTTTGTTTCTTCCTTCTCAATCTGTATACCTTTTTCTTGTCGTATTAATTGGTGCTTTCAGCTTAATGTTGAAATATGGTTAGAGAGAATATCCTGCCTTTTTTCCTGATCTTAGTGGGAAAACTCCAAGTTTTTCACCTTAAAGTAGGATGTTAGCTATAGGTAGTTTTGTAGATACTCTTTATCAAGTTGAAGACATTTGCCTCTATTCCTATTTTGCCAAGATTTCTCTCTCTCTCTCTCTCTCTCTCTCTCTCTTTCTCTCTCTCTCTTTAAATGAATGGATGTTGGGTTTTATCAATGCTTTTCTGCATCTATCAATATAATTTTGTGGTTTTCTTTAGCCTGTTGATATGATGTATTATATTAATTGATTGTTAAATTTTTATCCAGGTTTGTATATCTGGGGTAAATCCCACTTGGTTGTGGTATATAGTCTTATACATTGATGGGTTTGATTTGTTAATATTTTGTGGGGGATTCTTTTTATGTCTATGTTCATGAGAGATACTGTGTATACTTTTCTGTTATGTGTTTAGTTTTGATATTAAGGTAATGCTGGCCTTATAGATTGAGTTAGTAAATATCCCCTCTGCTTCTATCTCTGGGAGAAAATGTAGAGACTTGGTATAATTTTTTCCTTCAGTGTTTGGTAGATGTCACCAGTGAACCCAACTGAGCCTGGTGCTTTATGTTTTGGAAGGGTTTTTTTGTTTTGTTTTGTTTTTAAGATTTACCAATTTATTCATGAGAGACACAGACTGAGAGAGAGAGGCAGAGGCACAGGCAGAGGGAGAAGTAGGCTCCCCAAGCAGGGAGCTCAATGCGGGACTCAATCTTGGATCCCAGGAACACGACCTGAGCCAAAGGCAGGTGCCCAACCACTGAGCCACCCAGGCGTCCCTATTTTTTGGACGGTTAACTATTGATTCAATTTCCTTAATAGATATAGGCCTATTTAGATTATCTGTTTCTTCTTGTGTGTGTTTCAGCAAATTGTGTCTTTCAAGTAATTGGTTCCTTCATCTCAGTTATCAAATTTGTGAGGATAAAATTGTTAATAGTATTCCTTTAATTTCCTTTTAATGTCTATAGGATCTGTAGTGATGTCCTCTGTTCTATTTCTGTCCTCTGATACTAGTAATTTGTGTCATTTCTTATTTTTTCCTAGCCTGGCTAGAATCTTATTGATTTTATTGAATTTTTTTTCCAGAACTAGATTTTGGTTTTGTTGATTTTTCTCTATTTTCTGTTTTCAATTTCACTGATTTCTGCTCTAATTCTTATTTCTTTTGTTGTGTTTATTTGGCATTTAATTTACTCTTGTTCTTAGTTGCCTAAGTTAGAAATTTATTTAATTAACTATAGATCTTTCCTTTAAAAAATATGCATTCTGTGTTATAAATTTCCTGCTAAGCACTGTTTTGCTCCATCCCACAAATTTTGTTAAGTTGTATTTTTGGCTTTTTAGTTAGCTTGTTTAAAGTTTATTTCTTTTTTTAGAATTTCTACACCCAATGTGGGGCTCAAACTCATGATCTCAAGATCAAGAGTCACATGCTCTTCCAATTGAGCTAGCCAGGCACCCTATATTTTTGTTTTCATTTAATTCAAAATATTTTTTACTTTCTTGAGATTGCTTCTTAGACCCATGTGTTATTTAAAAGTGTAAGTTTAATCTTTACCTATTCGGAGATTTTTCAGTTATTTTTCTGTTATTAATTTCCAGTTAATTACTTTATGGTCGGGGAACAGATATTTTATAATTTCTATTCTTTTTAAAATTTGTTAAAGTGTGTTTTTGTGACCCAGAATATGATCTATCATGGTGAATGTTCCCTGTGAGTTTGAGAAGAATGTGTATTCTCTTTTTGAAGTAATCTGTAGATGTCAGTTATATCCAGTTAATGGATGGTATTTTTGAGTTCAACTACATCATTACTAACTTTCTGTCTGGATCTGTCCATTTCAAAAGAGGGATAGTGTGGTCTCCAACTTTGATAGTTTAGTCATCTATTTCTCCTTGTCATTTTATCAGTTTTTGTGTCACATAGTTTGAGATACGTTGCCAGACATATACAGATTAAGGATTTTTATGTCTTATTTGCAAATTAACCTCTTTATCATTATATAATGATATAGATATCATTTATCTATGGTAACTTTCCTTCCTTTGAAGTCTGCTCTGTCTGAAATTGTATAGGTATACTTCCTTTCTTTTGATTAGTAGTAGCATGTTTTATTAACATATTAGTGTATTTTTCTCCATTTTACTTTCAACATGTACATGTCTTTATATTTACAGTGGATTTCTTATAGACAACCTCTAGTTGGGTTTATTGTGTGTGTGTGTTTTTATTTTTTTTTATTTTTATTTATTTTATGATAGTCACACACACAGAGAGAGAGAGAGAGAGGCAGAGACACAGGCAGAGGGAGAAGCAGGCTCCATGCACCGGGAGCCTGATGTGGGATTCGATCCGGAGTCTCCAGATCGCGCCCTGGGCCAAAGGCAGGCGCCAAACCGCTGCGCCACCCAGGGATCCCTGTGTGTGTGTTTTTAAAGATTTATTCATTTATTTTAGAAAAACAGTGGGAAGGGCAGAGAGAGAGAGAATTTCAAGCAGACTGAAACCCTGAGATCACAACCTGAGCCAAAACCAAGAGTTGAACACTTAACTGACTACGCCACCTAGGCACCCCTGGTTCTTGTTATTTGATTCGTTCTGACATCATTTCTTGGCCTGGCTAGAAGCTTATAGATTTTTTTTTTTTTTTTTACAGAACTAGATTTTGGTCTCTGTCTTATAATTGGAGCATTTAGAAGAACATTGATGTTCCAAGTGATGTTGATTTTCTGGGATTAGTATTTACCATGTTGATGTTCCAAGTGATGTTGATTTTCTGGGATTAGTATTTACCATGTTTGTCACTGTTTTCTATTTGTTGTCCTTATTCCTTTTTTTTTTTGTCTTCCAGCCTTTCTGCCTGGAATAAACCCTTCTCTTTACTCAGAGTACCCAGCCACTCTGCCTACCTCAGACTATCAATGATCAGGGATTCCATTTGTGAAATGATGAAAACCAGGTGGGGTGCCATCACCTATGGAGTATTTAAAATCTCCTGATGCCCAGACTTCACCCCAGAGATTTTGTGTAAATTAGTCTGTGGTGGCAACCAAGTGAACCAGATATGGCTGATGTGTGGAATATCAAGCCCCTGATTGGATTCATTAGAAAGCACCTTTAGGAGTTAGGTCAGAATAATGTTCGGATTCTACAGGATGTAGATCAAAGGGAATTGGTGGTTATATATGGAGCCAACACTAATGTCTACAGTTTTTGGGGCCCAACTATGGTGTTTTATGTGCTGGTTTCCAAGTCACATCACTTTGTTTGCATGGATGGGAGCAGCTTCTCTGTGAGGCCTTCTCCAAATCCTAAAGTTCCAATCTAGATTGAGAGGTTTCTTCTCACCAGAATTTCTTGTCCTTTCTCTTTCTCCATTAACAGGCTGTCCTTTGCCCAAACCAAAGCTGATCTACCCATTGGAGCACAGCCAAGATTTATGGACATTAAAGTGAGGCCTCTAGGGCCAACAGTTGGCCAGATCAGGGTTGTGGCAGCTTGCAGATAGCACAGTGATTACTGCCTCTGGAATTTGTGGAAGTTGTATTATTGTGGCCTCTCTAGAGGCTTAGGATCCATTGAGCCTTTTAACCACCAGTCTTTTTGTGCTCCCCAGTCTCCAGTGCTCCTGTGGGCATGTAGGACCTATTAGATAATGAGTTCAGGTTCTCAGCTCCAGCTGGTTGGGCTTAAAAACTAGCTGTGACACACAGCAGCCTTGTGGCCTGCGGAAGGTGCATGATCTCACTGTGCCTTTATATATAAATTCAAACAATGTAAATCTAGCTGCTCTAACAGGCATATTCCAGAATCTGGGTGGCTCAGCATATGAAAAGTACTTTTCTTACCCAGGGACCATGTAGGTCAGTTTGGAGCTGTGTACTACATAGTTATTGGGGAACCAGGTACCTCCCATCATCAGCGTAAGACTTGCACATTGTCCTGGCATCTTCTAGCTAGCACAGGGGAAATGAGAGAAGAAAGGAGAATGTCATACCCACTTCTATACACACTATTTCTCCTCACATTCCACTAACAAGACATCTGGGGCTGGGAAATGAGGCTGAGCTATGTGTCCAAGGAAAGGGACAAATGGTTCTGTGAGTGTAGTCTGCTATACTCTGTCTCTAAATGAGTCATTGAGTTTTTTGAGGATGTACCAGATTGTTCATGAAACTGGTTCACACTGGCCCTGGCCCATAGTGAGTGAATGGCTCAGCAAAAGTAAGCTGCTAGTGTTATTCACATAATACTATTAGTCATAATGAATAATGACTCACATTTCCTTCTGAACTACAAGGAAACAAACTATATTCTGCATCCCACCCTTTCTCACCTTCTCCATACACCCATTCTCCAGATGTCAGGCCCTCAGAAGCACTCCCTTGTTCCATGTCTTCGTGCCCCCCCCCTTGTTTGCTTAAACTTCAAGGTAACATTTTGCCTTCTATTCCCCTAATCTGTGCTGCTGAGGCACTGGGGATGTCAGGCATGGTAACTGGTGCCACTGCAGAGTCATACTCTCTCCCCTGTAGTGGTCCGTTGGGCTCTCATCCCAAGCATGTGTCTGTTCAGCCCCTCAGAGTCTGTTCCAAATCTTCACCCTTGTTCCCAGGCTCACATCTGCGAATGTGGAAAAGACACTTCACTCTCAACATGCCTAAGAAGGAGCTCATGATTTTGCCTGCTCCTCCTACCTCCATGCATGTTAGAAGGGCTGGATGCAACTTCAGATAATTCCTCAACACCTCCATCTCTACCACTCCTGCATTCAGACATCCTGTCCATATCACATGAACATCTCCACCACTGCCTCTACTACCTGAGACCCACCCCTACACTCATGACTCTACGTTTTCAACTTTTGCCTAGGTGGTAGCTGGTCTCCCCACATCTCCTGTGTGCCTCTGATCTGTCCTGTCTCCCACACTGACTCCTTCACTGGCTCCTGATTTGAGAGCTTGTTCCAGAACTTCACCACACCCCCCAGCCACTGACGTCTAAGCACATTTTCCTGTCAAAAATAGTCTGCACTTGGGATGTCTGGGTGGCTCAGCGGTTGAGCATCTGCCTTTGGCTCAGGGTGTGATCCTGGGGTCCTGGGATCGAGTCCCGCATCAGGCTCCCTACATGGAGCCTGCTTCTCCCTCTGCCTGTGTCTCTGCCTCTCTCTCTCTCCTTGTGTCTCTCATTAATAAATAGATCTTTAAAAAAAAAAAGAAAATAGTCTGCACTCTTGTGTTGCTTGATTGTCAACCATTACACATTGATCTGAATCTCTCATGTGTGGCTTCCCTTCTCACCAACCCCCAGAGGAAGCCTTGCCCCCCAACCATGGCAAACTCCTGCACTAAAGCCCAGATCACACCTTTTCAGGGCGAACTGGCTTCTTCTTTTCTGCCTCTTCTGTTACTTTATCCATTCTCTGCTCAACATAAAAATATGCCTGGTTGCATCACATTAGGGGGAAGTAAATTAAAAAGGCTTATGGCTCTCCAGTGTCTTCACACTGGCATCAACTCTGCTTTCCCTGTATAACCAATCTTGGAAAAGTTGTCTCATTCTTGCAAGAGATTTCTACACTCGTGTTCCATTCTCCCATTTACTATTATTTTCTTGCACTTTTTTTAAAGATTTATTTTTATTTATTTATGATAGACATAGAGAGAGAGAGAGACAGAGGCAGAGACACAGGCAGATAAAGAAGCAGGCTCCATGCCGGGAGCCCGACGCGGGACCCGATCCTAGGACTCCAGGATCCCGCCCTGGGCCAAAGGCAGGCACGAAACCACTGAACCACCCAGGGATCCCCATTTTCTTGCACTTTTTGAATGAGCTTTAACTCATTTTCTCTATTGTGCAAAAATCTTAAGAGGTCAGCTTGATGAATCTTTGTATATGTGCAAACCAATATAACCATCACCTATGTTAATATTTAATATATGCCATAGTGCCCCCTTATTTGTGGTTTTACTTTCTGTGATTTCAGTTACCCAACGTCAACTACAGTCCAGAAGCAGATGATCGTCCTTCTGATGTATCATTAGAAGGTCACCAGTAGCCTCATGCTATGTCACAGGCCTGTGTCATTCACTTCACTTAATTTCATCGTGTAGGCATTTTATCATCTCACAGCATCACAAGAAGGATGAGTGCCATATAATAAAATATTTTGAGAGAGAGACCACATTTGTGTAACTTTTATTACAGTATTTGTTATAATTATTTTATTATTAGTTACTTTTGTTAATCTCTATGTGCCACATATATAAATTAAACTTTACTATAGGTGTGTATATATAGGAAAAAAACATTGTATATATAGGGTTGGTACTACTTGCACTTTCAGGGATCCACTGGGGGTCTTGGAACATATCCCCCACAGATAAAGGGGACCGCTGTACAATATTTCCAGCACCTCGTCAAGGTCTTGTGCCTTCAGTAGCCCCTTCTGCTAGGTAATCCCTATTGAGACCATCAGCATGAATTTGCTTTGACTATTGATTGTTTCATCTGTATTTCTGTCTCCTTTTGACCATTGTTATGTCTGTGAGATTCTTTTCATGTGGTTGCATGTAGTTGGAGTTGTTCACTCTCAATCTAATGTAATACCTCATTGTGTTGAAAACTGCCATTTATTTATCCCTTCCCCTCTGGGCAGGCATTCCTGTGGTTTTCAACTTAATGCTGCTGAGAATATTCTTGTTACGTGTTTTGGTGCAGATAACCACTGATTTCTGTTAGGAGTGGATTCTTTCTTTTTTTTCTTTTTGAAATTTTTTTAAAGATTTTATTTATTCATGAGAGAAAGAGAGAGAGAGAGAGAGAGAGAGAGAGAGAGAGAGAGAGAGAGGCAAAGACACAGGCAGAGGGAGGAGCAGGCTCCATGCGGAAGCCTGATATGGGTGGGACTCGATCCCGGGTCTCTCGGATCATGCCCTGGGCTGAAGGTGGCGCTAAACTGCTGAGCCATTCGGGCAGTCCCAGGAGTGGATTCTGTGTTTCCAGGACAGGTTGGCTTTTTTGGAAACTGCCAAGCAGTTTTCCCAGTTTCACATGTGAAAGTGGTAACATCGTTCTCTTTGTGCTTTGAGGCCCTGTCAGGGGGTTCCTCTGTACCACAGCCCTGAAAGTTTTCCATATAGTCACTGCTTTGCTCCTCATTTTCAAATACAGCAGTGACCATAGTGATAATGCGTGATGGCCTGCAGTTTACTGAATGGTCCTCCAGGGGCTGGCACTATGTGATCACTTCACAGGCACTTTCTTATTTAACCTCCAGGACAGTCTGTGAGGCAGAAACTGAGAGTCTCTCAGTTTTTCAGACGAAGAAATTGAGTTGGGAAGAGCTAAGTAATTTGTTGAGTATCAGCTCACTTGGTACAGGCAGAGTTTGTGCCAAGTGTTCTGGCTCCAGCTGATACTCTTCACCTCCATGCTGTGTGAATTCATAATGCAGCAGACTTTTCAGATTGTGTCATAAGCATCTGGTTCTCTTGGAGTCTCTGCCCCTAATCTCCCAGGACCTTCCTTGTCTTCTTATTCTGGTTGGCTCTAATGTTGGCTCATCAGGCATCTCATGGACTTTTTACTTTAAAAAGAACTTTTTACTCTTCAATACTCTTCAAGATTAATCCACATATTCTGACACTGTCAATTTATATGCTTCCTAATTAGGTCCCAGGTGTGTATTATTTAACCCCATTAGGGGATTAACCCATAAATAACCCCAGTGTCTGGCATCATACTGAATGTGGTTCACATAGTGAACATGGTAAATGCAGGATTTCATTTCATCCTCACAGAGTCCTACAGGCCAGGCTCTATTTTTAGCTTTCCTTTTTAGAAGACAAAACGAGGGCTTCTGGAATTTGAGTGCCTTGACAGGTGCCACAGGGCTAATCCTGAGTTCTTGTGGAGTGTGGGCCTAGGGTTTCAGTGGTTAGACACCATGATCTTAACCATAATTTTGCTGTGACCTCTAACTTTTGTGTAGTGGACCTCAGGTACAAATTTTGATCATAAACCTTGGTTTATGACAGATTGTCATCAGTGACTCACAAATGACCTTAGTTAATTGATGTATTTACTAAGTTATTTACTCATTCATTTCTTTTTGAAAATAATACACTTAACATCACTGAACTCAAGAATGAGACCTTTAGTCATACCAACTGTCTAGTCAGTCTGGACTGCTATAACAAGAATGCCACAGTTCTGGAGACCTGAAGTCAGGTGCTTGCAGATCTGGTGTCTGGTTGGGGAGCTCTTCCTGGTGTGCAGATATGAGTCTCTTCTTCCATCCTTAGGTGGCACTGAGAAGACGCAAATGCTTTTGTGTTTCTTGTGAGAACGCCAATCCCAAGTCGGGGCCACACTCTTACCAGTCCCATCCTCTTTTGCATTGTAGGTTCCCTGAGTCTTGGAAGACTCTGCCTTTGTTCATTCTGTTAACTAAGGTGAAATGGCTTTCTTGTTTTATCTTTACAGCAACTTCTTGTACTCCCTCTCTGGGAACCCTCCTTGATTTCTTCCTGGCTCCTGTGCAGGCTGCATCAGGTGCCCCTTCACTGGCCTCTTACAGCATCTGGAGATGTTCTTGCTTTGAGCAAACCCAACACATGCAGTGTCATTACCCTGTGTACTTGTCCCTAGTTGCCAGTATGTCCCTCACCTCTCCTCTCACTCTGGTTTCCCCTCAAAGGTTTCAAGAATTCAAGATCCAAAAAGAAATTTCAAGCTGGATTTCAGAGATTTGAAAACATGGCAGGGGATCCCTGGGTGGCGCAGTGGTTTGGCGCCTGCCTTTGGCCCAGGGCGTGATCCTGGAGACCCGGGATCGAATCCCACATCGGGCTCCCGGTGCATGGAGCCTGCTTCTCCCTCTGCCTGTGTCTCTGCCTCTCTCTCTCTCTCTCTCTCTCTGTGACTTTCATAAATAAATAAAAAAAAAAAAGAAAACATGGCAGGCATGGAACCACTGTTTTCATCTTCTTATTCCTACTGAAATAGAAATTTTACTTTTCTGTGTTGCCATCTGTAATAAGGCTTGCTGTATCTTGTGTTCCTTTCAGGTTATGGTACAAAACCCCAGACCACAGAGTTTTCTCATTCTCACCTTGCCTTGTCTGAGGAAGTCTCCCCACAGGATCAACTGACTCGGCAAACTCTGGGGGATAGGTGAGGCAAGGCAAGAATCAGGATAGGCTGTCAGAAGTGCTGGAAGGCCAGTTGAAACCAGGGATAGACCCCCAAATGGAGAAGCTCCCTGGGAACATGAAGCCTGAACATGATGGTTTAGGGACAGATGATGGTCTACACTGAAGGACTGTGCAGGATCTGATCCCCCCAGAACACGTTCTGCACAAATGTGACCTCAAGGATGACTGAAAGATCTCTTTATTCATGAACGGAAATGTCCCTGTAAGTGTAAGGAATTTGGGAAAGTGTCTACGAAGAATTGCTTTCTAGTTCAACATAAGCAGATGCCCACTGGAGTAAGGCCCTATGAATGCACTAAATGTGGAAAAACTTTCAGCAAGAGCACACACCTTCTCCAGCACCACATCATTCACACGGGGGAGAGGCCCTACGAGTGCAAGGAGTGTGGAAAGGCCTTCAACTGCATGTCAGGCCTTACACAACACCAATGGATTCACACTGGAGAGAAGCCTTATAAGTGCAGTGAATGTAGAAAGGCCTTCACCCACTGCTCCAATTTAGTCTTGCATAACAGAAGCCACACTGGAGAAAACCCTTTGTGTGCAAAGAATGTAGGAAAGCCTTCTGTGATAAGACAGGTTTCCTTTGACACTACATCATCCATACAGGAGAGAAGCCCTTTTGAGTGCATGTAGTGTGGGAAGGCCTTCAACTGTAGGTCACACCTCACCTGGCACCAGCAGGTTCACAATGGAGTGAGGCCCCTTGAATGTAGTGAATATGGGAACGCCTTTTGCCACAGCATGGACCTCATTCAGCACTACAGCATCCACATAGGAGAGAAGCCATTCAAGTGCCTCGAATGTGGGAAGGCCTTCTACTGCCAGTCACACCTCAAGCATCACCAGTGGAGTCACACTGGGGAGAAGCCCTATATATGCAGTGAGTATGGAAAGGCCTGCTCTACTTTCATCCTGCATAAAAGGGCCCACACTGGAGAAAAACCCTATGAATGCAAAGAGTGTGGGAAACTTTTAGCAATTGATCAGATCTCATCTGGCACTTCAGCATCCGCACTGAGGAGAAGCTCTATGAGTGCATGGAGTGTTGTAAGGCCTTCAATTGCCAGTCATACCTCACAAGACACCAGTGGATCCATAGTGGTGAGAAGCCCTGTGAACGCATGGAGTGTGGCAAAGCCTTTTGCCAGAGAGCAAACCTCATTCGACATGCCATTATCCACATTGGGGAGAAGCCCTGTGTGTGCAATGAGTGTGGAAAGGCCTTTACCTACTGCTACACTTTCATCTTGCATAAAAGGGCTCACACTGGAGAAAAAACTTTTGAGTGCAAAGAGTGTGGGAAAGCCTTTAGCATGAGGAAAGACCTCATTCGACATCAGCATTTATGCTGGAGAGAAGCCCTATGAGTGCATGGAGTGTGGGGAGGCCTTCAGTCGCCACTCAGGGCTCACAAGGCACCAGCGGATTCACAGTGGAAAGAAGCCCTACGAATGCATGGAGTGTGGGAAATCCTTCTGCTGGCGCACAAGCCTCAGCTGACACTCCATTATCCACACTGGAGAGAAGCCCTATGATGGAGTGCGTGTGGAAAAGCCTTCAGTCGCAGCTCCTCCCTCACTCAGCATTAGAGGATTCATACTGGGAGAAACTCTGTTAGTGCAATGGAAGTAGGAAGACCCTTCACAAATGGGCAGTCCTTAGTCACTCCCTGATAGCTTCTATTGGGGAAAGATTCTTGAATGTAACTAGTGAGGAAACCTCTTACTCAGAATCTGATCGTTCATATCAAAGAGAAATTCCTCGATTTCCTTCCGTACAAAAAACCTTTCTGTTGCAAGATATCATTTGTCATCTAAGGAGTCATACTGGAAATCTACCCCAGTCTAGAGCCTTATTCTACATCTGAAAATTTATGTAGGAGTGTGATCCAGTCATTCTTATGCACTTCGCATAACCATCAGCCACATCTTTCTCCTCAGTGTACACTGAAAAACTATCTCAGGGATATTTAAACAGAGGAGGAGAGGACATAAAAGAGAAAGAAATGTAAGCATGGTTTTTTTTCAGACTTCTGTGACAAGCCTATAGCAGTTTGTTGTTCCTTATCTTATTTGATGGGAGAGAGTGTTGTTTCAGAGATGAGAGAGCTTTGTCCACTTTATCTTACATATATTTTCACTGCTGTCCATTGCCAGGACAGTTGGACATTTAGGATGTGTCTGAAAACATTTATTGAAAGTCTTTGTTCTGTGGCATCATCTCTACCCTTGAGTAGCATGAGTCTTACCAAGAAATATGAAGGCTTCACTTATGAAATACTGTTATATTTCAGGAGATACAATGGGCCCATGTACCACACTCTTAAACCTGATTTTTTAAAATAAAATATTTTTTCATGTGTATTTAACTACATACCACTTATATACTTGCTCTTAATCTACTTGTTTTTTCTGTGTAATGAGGATGGCAGTGTAGCTGTGTGAACTTCCCAGATGAATGTGAATTCTTCCTTCTGATTGCAATTCCTAAGCTTCTCCAATCCTCCTTAGAGAGGCTTCTCCCAAGTCCATGTCAGTTGTCTTCTAGGGGTTGAATGAGAGGCAAAATAAAGCACATAACTAAATTAAGCTAAAAAAGAAAAAAAAGGATCCCTGGGTGGCACAGCGGTTTGGCGCCTGCCTTTGGCCCAGGGCGCGATCCTGGAGACCCGGGATCGAATCCCACGTCAGGCTCCCGGTGCATGGAGCCTGCTTTTCCCTCTGCCTGTGTCTCTGCCTCTCTCTCTCTCTCTCTCTCTCTCTCTCTCTCTCTCTCTCAAATAAATAAAAATTTAAAAAAATAATAAATAAATAAAAATAAAAAAGAAAAAAAGATAAACTCAGAAAAACCACAGAGAAGGAATCTCATTTTTAATCTTGCAAAAGATTGCATGAAGATTCACTAATGAGGAAATTGACTAGAATTTTAACGATGAAATGGGCATGTGCACATGCAGGTATCTGTGAGTTTCACAGTTGTTACCATGGCCTTAGTCCTGGTATAACAACTGACTAGTAACCTTTATCAGGGTCTTTTGGAATTCCTTCCTTGGTATTTTTTTTGAGCTACACATGATAGTATTACCTCACATTAAGAAATATGCTGTGAAAAGAAACAAACAATCCAATCATGAAATGGGCAAAAGACATGAAGAGAAATCTCACAGAGGAAGACATAGACATGGCCAACATGCACATGAGAAAATGCTCTGCATCACTTGCCATCAGGGAAATACAAATCAAAACCACAATGAGATACCACTTCACACCAGTCAGAATGGGGAAAATTAACAAGGCAGGAAACAACAAATGTTGGAGAGGATGTGGAGAAAAGGGAACACTCTTACACTGTTGGTGGGAATGTGAACTGGTGCAGCCACTCTGGAAAACTGTGTGGAGGTTCCTCAAAGAGTTAAAAATAGACCTGCCCTACGACCCAGCAATTGCACTGTTAGGGATTTACCCCAAAGATTCAGATGCAATGAAACGTCGGGACACCTGCACCCTGATGTTTCTAGCAGCCATGTCCACAATAGCCAAACTGTGGAAGGAGCCTCGGTGTCCATCGAAAGACGAATGGATAAAGAAGATGTGGTTTCTGTATACAATGGAATATTACTCAGCCATTAGAAACGACAAATACCCACCATTTGCTTCAACGTGGATGGAACTGGAGGGTATTATGCTGAGTGAAGTAAGTCAATCGGAGAAGGACAAACAGGGTATGTTCTCATTCATTTGGGAAATATGAATAATAGTGAAAGGGAATATAAGTGAAGGGAGAAGAAATGTGTGGGAAATATCAGAAAGGGAGACAGAACATAAAGACTCCTAACTCTGGGAAATGAACTAGGGGTGGTGGAAGGGGAGGAGGGCGGGGGGTGGGGGTGAATGGGTGACAGGCACTGAAGGAGACACTTGACGGGATGAGCACTGGGTGTTAGTCTGTATGTTGGTAAATCGAACACCAATAAAAATTAATTTATTAAAAAAAAGAAATATGCTGTGAAAAAGAAATAAAAAAAATAAAATAAAAAAACAAATTAAAAAAATGGGGATCCCTGGGTGGCACAGGGGTTTGGCGCCTGCCTTTGGCCCAGGGTGCGATCCTGGAGTAAACTCCGGTGCATGGAGCCTGCTTCTCCCTCTGCCTGTGTCTCTGCCTCTCTCTCTCTCTCTCTCTCTCTCTCTCTCTCTCTCTCTCTCTATCATAAATTAAAAAAAAAGAAAAGAAAAGAAATATGCTGTGAAGAAAGATGTTAAAATAATCATGCATTCACTTTGAACCCTCTTCGGCCTTTTAAATCACCACACGTGTACTTTTGTATTGCCATTGTAGGCCAAGCCACTTTTGTTACATTGATTCATGGCATTATTGTGAAACAGTCTCTTATTCCTTTTCATGTCATGTGTAAGAAGTCTTCTTTTTTATTTTTTTTATTTTTTTTATTTTTTTTAAATTTTATTTTATTTTTTTAATAAATTAATTTTTATTGGTGTTTGATTTACCAACATACAGAATAACACCCAGTGCTCATCCCGTCAAGTGTCTCCTTCAGTGCCCGTCACCCATTCACCCCCACTCCCCGCCCTCCTCCCCTTCCACCACCCCTAGTTCATTTCCCAGAGTTAGGAGTCTTTATGTTCTGTCTCCCTTTCTGATATTTCCCACACATTTCTTCTCCCTTCCCTTATATTCCCTTTCACTATTATTCATATTCCCCAAATGAATGAGAACATACCCTGTTTGTCCTTCTCCGATTGGAAGTCTTCTTTTTTTTTAAAAAAATATTTATTCATGAGAAACCCAGAGAGAGACAGGGAGAGAGGCAGAGACACAGGCAGAGGGAGAAGCAGGCTCCATGCAGGGAGCCTGACATGGGACTTGATCCTGGAACTCCAGGATCACACCCTGGGCCCAAGGCAGGCGCCAAACCGCTGAGGTACCCAGGGGTCCCCCTCTTGCTGGTATTTTAATAGACATACATTAGTCTATGGATCATTTTGGTGATAATTGGGCATCTTTATTATGTTGATTCTTTCAGTCCATGAACATGGTATGTCTTCGTTTATTTAGATCCTTTTTTATTGTGTCAGTATCTTATAATTTTCCACTTGTAGATCTGGATCATATTTTGTTTTTTTCTAGGCACTTTTTTTTAGAGTCGTTATACATCACATTGAGGGTTTTTTTTTTTTTTTACGATTTTATTTATTCATGAGACAGAAAGAGGCAGAGACATAGGCAGAGGGAGAAGGAGGCTCCATGCAGGGAGCCCAATGTGGGACTCGATCCCAGTACTCTAGGATCATACCCTGAGCCAAAGGCAGGTGCTCAACCACTGAGCCACCCAGGCATCCCTCATATTGAGTTTTTAATGTCAGTTTGCACATGACCACTACTGTTAACAGAGAAATATGATTAGTTTGCTATGTTGCCCTTATTTTCTTCAACCTTGCTGAAATCACTTATTCTAGCAGACTTTTTTGTGGATTCCTGAGGATTTTCTTCTTAAACAATAACGTTATCAGCAAATACCTTTAGCCTTCTTCCTAATCTGTATCTCTTTCATTCCCTTTCCCTGTCTTTATTGTACAAGCTAGAACTTGCAGTGCAATGTTGAATACAAGTGGCAAAAGAGGACATACTTGCTTAATAACGTCAAGGAGAAAGCATTCCTTGTTGACCATTAAGTACAATGATAACTGTGGGTTATTTTGTTTTACTTTTTTAAAAAATTTAACTCCAGTATAGTTAACATGCAGCATTATATTAGATTCAGGTATACAATATAGTGAGTTAGCAGTTCCATATATTACTCTTTGTTCATCAAGTTTAGTGTACTCTTAATCTCCTTCACCTAATTCACCCATTCCCCCCCCATCACCTCCCTTCTGATAACCATCTATTTCTTATTTATAGTTAGTCTGTTTTTTGGTTTGTCTCTCTCTTTATATAGATATTCTTTATCTAGTTTGGAAAGTTACCCTCTTAATTTGCTAGGAGCTTTCATTTTGAATGGATGTTGAATTTTGCCAAATGCTTTTTCTATTTTGGTTGATGTGATTTTTCTTCTGTAGCCTGTTAATATGATGGATTCCTTTGGCTAGATTTGAATGTTGAACTGGCCTTGCCTTCCTGCAATAAACTGTACCAGGTCATGGAATATTATTATAATATATCAATAGTCTATTTATGATATCTAGTTGAAGAATTTTGTTCCTAAAATCATGAGCATATTGGTGTATAGTTTAATTTCTTTGTATTGGTATTGATGTCTGACCACTTCTTGCTTCCCAGAATGAACTAGAAAGTGTTCCTCTTTTCTTTCTTCCTTTCTTTTCTTCTTCTTCTTTCTCCTCCTCCTACTCCTCCTCTTCTTCTTCTTTCTCCTCCTCTGCCTTCTTCTTCTTCCTCTTCCTCTTCTTCTTCCTTTTCTCTTCTCCCTTCTTCCTTCTTTTTTTCCTGGATTAGATTTTGTAGAACTGGTGTTATTTCTTATTTAAATATTTGATAGAATTCTCCAGTGAAATCATCTGGGCCTGGAGATTCCTCTTTGGGATATTTTTAATCATATATTGAATCAGCCTAATTGGTATAGGACTATTAAGAGTATCTACTTTATATTGATAGAATGCCCTTCCAGAGAAGTTGTTCCATTTCATCTAAGCTTCTAATTAAATCGTGAAATTCTTTGAAGTATGCCTTTATTATTCTTTTAATGATAGGAATATCTGTGCTTATATCTCCTGTTTTATTCTTTATATTGGAAATGCTTTTTATTTTTTATTAATCTTAGATTTTTATCAATTTTATTGACTATTTCAAAGAACTAGTTTTATTTAGCACTCTGTAGTTTCTTGAGATGTAGATTAGATTATTAACTTGAGTTTTTCTTTTCTTTTCTAATGTAAGAAGCATTTGGTTCTATTAATTTCTCTCTCAGCACTGTTGAAGTTCCATCCTGCAAACTTTCATTTGTTTTGAATTCACTTTCATTCAGTTAAAAAAATTCTTGATTCCATTTGAGACTCCCTCTCTGATCCATGGGTTTATTTAGAAGTGTGCACCTTCTAAGTGTTTTGGAATATTTTTTATTTTTCTGTTATTTTCTGTTTCATTTGTGGTCTTAGTACATGCTCTGTGTGATTTCAAAACGTTTACATATGTTGAGGCTTGTTTTATGATCTGCAAACAAATGAACCATAAACAACATCCTTATAGAATGTTCCATGGGTGCTTGAAAAAGATTTATATTCTGTTGTTGAGTGGAGTGTTCGATAAATGTGAGATTCTGCTGGTAGTGTACAGATTTTCTGTATCCTTGCTGATTTTGTGCCTAGTGTTTCTATCAATCACTGAACAAAGACTGTCAAAATCCTCAACTAGAATTGTGGAATTGTCTATTTCTTTCTGTTCTATTACCTTTTGTGCTTTGTGTGTTTGAATGTTTTCTTGTTTGGTGCATATGCATTTATGATTGCTACATCTTTTTAGTGCATTGACTTTTATCATTATGTAACTAATACTCCTCTTTGTGCCTGTTAATTTTCATGGCTCTGAAATATACTTTATTTAATATTTATATAGCCACTGCTGGATTCTTTATTACTAAATGGTTTATCTTTGTCCATCTCTCATTTTAACCTATGTGTATTGTTATATTTGAGGTAAATTATTTG